GCACTACGTGAGCTCACGTATGCTAAGAGACGCTGTAAGTATGCACGCGAAGATAACAAGTAGTAAGAGATGATGTTAGGCCGCGTTCATACTTTGCGGTAGCGTACGCTAGCGTTTCCAGCGTTCGCCAGCGGCAGTGGCAAGGGAAGGATGATATCGATCTAGCGTCACCAGCGTACGCTAGCGTAACGCTGGAGTATTCTAACGTACGCTAGCACAGTGAGGGCAAGGAAAGCATAGGTATCGATCTAGCGTTTTCAGCGCTTCACCAGCTTTTCGCCAGCGTTTCGTAGAGACTATGAGAGAGTAGGAGAGTAGAAACAGTTCGATTAGCGTGCTGTGAAATTGCGGCGTGTGTAGCCGCACCGCAGTACTAATACCGTACACTGAATTGGTTAAATTGCATAATGCAATGGTTGAATTGCATAACGCATAGATGCAAATCATGAACCGATTACCATATCACGACTACAAAAAGGGTGGAACCATCTAGGATCTTTCGTAAGAATGAGCATGTATTTATCAGCCGTATATTCGACCAGAAACCGTTCATACGAATTACTAAAAGTTCCCAAAAAATAGAACAATCTCCAACAGATCAGCCCTAAAAAAGGAGATGGTACCTGCAAAAGCCAGCGTTTTCATAGTTCAATTCAATTCCGGTGCGACAATGGAAAAAAAACATTCCGTTCCAGCAGCTAAACCACATAATGATGCAATTAAAGCAGTTAAGTGCCTTTTCTTGCCACTGCCGCTGGCGAACCCTGGAAAGGCTAGCGTACGCTGGAGTGCGCTGCCGCAAAGTATGAACGCAGATTAAGTATGCGCGCGATGCCGCGCCTCGAATGTTACAAAGTGCACCCGCGCCCTGTTCCGGGCGACTGGTGCGGTTTCTACTTATGGAATATTCTAAACCGTCCTGGTAAATGGATAAAGGAACGACGTCTCTGACCAGTCTGTTTACTGAGGTACACTCACGCGACTCCCATTCAGAATCGTTGTGATCTTTGACCTACATAATGACTGAGGGGGTAACTCTATGTAGAAGAAAAATCATTGAAAGTGAAAATAGTGAAATATCAGCGTTCCACTTTAGTGTTTTTATACTCTCATACGAATCTGGTACCAATGTACCGGTCTCTGGGAGGGGTGGGAAGGTTTGGTTGACTAGAGCCGGAGGGGTGAGCACCTTTAGCTGGAGTAGCATACGGTAAGATACTGTATGCCACCACCCAGCGCATATCCCGAAGCCCTGACCGCGCTTAATTGCAGCGCTGACTGTTGACCTCTCACTGGCTACTCAACGTAACGAGATGAATCGATTCGAATCCGTTTGATAATCGGATTTGATAAGTTAAAATCAGTAATTTCGTAATTCTATGAATATTGGGTTGAGGATAAATGTTCGCATCGAAGAGAAACGTGTTGAAATTTTTAAATGTTTCTGTTTTTAGGTGTTCATATACATCGAATGACCTTCCAAAGGCAAATTAATTCTTACATTAATTCTTTCTTCCTTATTTAAGGTCACCTGAAAATATGTTTATATAGCTCGATGAGCACCTCGTCATAACACACCTCGTCAGTGTTTGTCGTCACGAGCATGCTTTCAGGTGCCTACTACACCGCGTCTTGTCATGACTTTTCCATAAACTCACTCCTCACAGGTTCTACTCGACCCAGTTCCCTACATGCTTCTGCTGCTCTATCGCCGGCCCAATCACTCTACAGGATAGCTTCTACATTGCTCCTCCGCCGATGCATCATCTTCACACCAGTACCGTCCCAACCCTATCACCTGCATATTTCCTGACATCTACCCCATTTCAGGGCATTTCTCCAGAAATGCTTATGGGTCTTCAGCCTACCAGCGATGTCTACTACGGGACCGTGCATGCAATCACAACACCCATTCCTCCTCGGGAAATCACAGATTCCTGCACAGTGCCTCCACCTTTGTCGCCCATTCCTCTTCACGAAATCACAGATTCCTCCACAGCGCCTCCACCTTTGTCGCCCATTCCTCTTCACGAAATCACAGATTCCTCCACAGCGCCTCCACCTTTGTCGCCCAGTTCTCGTGAAATCACAGACCCATCGATAGCTCCTCCACCTTTGTCGCCCATTTCTTTTCAGGAAGACGCCCCTCTACAAAAAACCATATAATTTTAATTAATAATAATTTAATCAAAAAACCATAGTAAAACTATATAATTTTTCGAATGTTAAGGAGTGCATTTTATTTGTTTCGTTGTATCTATTGTCCATTGTCAAGAAATTTCCTTCCTAACACTCAACCTTGTGAATAAACAAATCGATTCATCTCGTTACGTTGAGTAGCCAGTGAGAGGTCAGCAGTCAGCGCAGCAATTAAGCGAGGTCATGCCGCAGGCGGGCCTCGGGATATGCGCTGGGTGGTGGCATACAGTATCTTACCGTATGCTACTCGAGAGTGGATCCGAAATTCGAACGCCGGACAACGCCGTGGCGCGACACCGTGGCGCGACTATTGCCACTACATCACTTCCGCCTTACTTTGTCCTAAATAAGGTGCCTAATAGGGAGGGTGGGTACTAGTCGGTTGGTGGAGAGCTTACTTGGCC